TTTGACAGAGATTTGCTCCCAGGCTGAGGAGATTTTAATCTATGGTGTGGAACTGGTACGCCCTCCTCTTGATGGAAGACGCCAAACTAACCCACTGAACAAGTGTGATGCAAAAAGAGTGAAGAGAGAGGGAAAGGGGAGGAGAGGCAGCCATTGCATCCATGGAACTGCTTCTGCTAGGCCAACTGCCTGACCCTCCCTGTCATGTTAAGGTGTGAAAAGACTGCAAGACCGGACCTGAATTTTAAGGCGTTTTTTCATGATCGTGTGTTCATCAGGAAGTTGGACAAAGCATCGCCTGCAGGCAAAAACCTCGCAGAGCAGTAAGAGTGCGTCCAGTCCGGTGGTATTCACAACCACGGGAAATGCTTTTGTTGATGGAAGGCGATAGAGGGAGGTTGGTCACTTGGGCTCAACTGTTTTATCATTTGCATCGCCACTGAGGTGCCAAAAATAAGCGGCATTTCTCATACCAAGAACACTTTACATTTGTCTAAATGTCAGAAGGAGGCCAAATTGCCATATTTGCGAAGCCGTTCAGTTCATTTATTGCGTTGCCAAGAGCGAGGGGCTGCTGAAGTAGGTTTTGTGATAATTTCTACCTGCGTGTCTGCAAATTCATTTGTCATTAAGTCGAGCCAGAGCAAGAGAGAAAGCGAGAGAGACAAAGAGAGGAGGAGGAGGAAAGGAAGACAGATCGGGCGACGCAGTTGGTGTGATCCATTGCGACTGTCATAATGTTGTTCGCCTTCTCGTGTCCCTCCTGCCCCTCACTCCCCCCCTCCACCTCCTTTTCCACCTTCAAGCAGTGTCGGGGCAAAAGATGACTACAAAAGAGTGAATTTTTCAGAACCAACTGTTCCCTTGTTTTACTAGATCCATCATTCAGCGATGTGTGGAGCCTTTTCTGCTTCCTTGTTGTTTTTAAAGGAGAAAAATGCTTTCCCTGAGCTTAATTTTAGCACGGATGGAGGTATTTACTGTTTTCTTCCATTGAACAGATGCCTACGACACCTAGGGACCATTCCCACTCCTCAGTCGTCAATCCGCACCATGTTTTGTGTGCCCTGGCAAACAATTTTCTGTTCCTTGGTCCATCAGTCCTTTCACCTGCTGTGGAGTAGTTGAGCCTACAGCCTATAGCGGTCCACATAAATAGCTCTGAAGGATCCATTTCAAAGTACTTGATCATTCCACCTCCACCGACCAGTGTATTTCGTATCCTTCCGCTTTACTCATCCGTCCACTACTTCGATCCACCTTGTAGGAGTACCCATTCATCCATCCACCCACTCGCCCACCTCGGAGCCGTGGCTCCCCTTGATAATTTTGGAACAAGATCTTGTAGCAACCGGTTGCCGATTAACATGGTTTTCGTGTCTGTCGTCACCTGCCTACTCAGGAGTGTGCTTCCGCTCCTTCTTTCAACTGGCGGCTATCTATCCTCCCATAGGCAGAGGCCTCGCACGCTTTCAACGATTCGCTTAGATGTCTGCCCTGTCACAGGAGTGACTTTCCCCAGCCACACCTACAACTTACGCGTTGTAATGTTCCTCTGGCCTGTCTATTCTTGAATGAGACAATATTTTCCAAACTCGGCCAAACCACTGCCGATGATTTTGGAGGAAGGAACAAGGGGATTACACTGTGAAGGGCAAAAAGGTTAAATTAAAAAAACAGCAACAACTTGACAGTGACACATGGAGGTGCATCATCAGTCAGCTAAGGTTTACATTATGCTTGTCCCCTCTCCCCTCACCTAACCTTCTAAGAGATGCTAACCTGAAGGACGTGCTCAAAACAGAGTACCTCTAGAGTCTCCTTTTAACTTCCAGGCTGGTGGGCTTGATTTGCTTTCAGGTTTTACCTTGCAACTAGGTAACTCGCAAGTCTTTACTTTTTGTCTCAAAAAATTAGATCTATCTGATGCTCAAGTTATATGCTTCTTGAGTCTTTTCTAAAGCAACAAAAAAGAAGGAGACTCCTTCCAAATCCTCTTTTATAAAATGAGGGTGCTCTAGTTTCCGATGTGGTTTAAAGATGTGTAGTCAAGACAATAGACTCAGTTCTATTGTCTTGCTGACCCTTTTTCGCCGTTGCTTCAAGACACAAAGGATGGGGAGGGGGTTTGACCAGATTTTCCTGACAAAAGTCAGCTTTTCATCTGTGACGACTCCTGCCACCGCAAATAGGAGGCGTGTTGACTTCTAGACACTACGACATTTTACCACGAGCCGTTCCCTCCTCCCCCCACCAACAGCAGAATTGTGTCCCTCCTTTTTTTTCGTTCTTCTCCTAAAAGCGTAGCAAAAGTTAGATAACTCTATACAAGCGGAGTTTTTTTTAAACTTTTACTTGGCAATGTGTAGGTGAAAGTGCATTTTTGACCAGGAATTTTTCATACTCCTTTTCTTGGAATTTATTTTGGTTGACGTGAGGATAGTAACGGCGTCTGTCATTCACAGGACAAAAATTTGTTTATTAATTTTCTACTGGAAAGGCTTAAAATTTGTCCTTCTGAGTAGAGGCATTAAAGTAGGTTGAGGGTTGAATACTTATATGAATTTGAGTAGTATTCCAGGTTTTTTTAGATTTTACAAATCAATCACCTGTTTTCTCCTTTTTTTATCAAACATGGAAAAAAAGAAAATGGATTTTCTGTATGCTTGTTTTAACTTTTTCGGGGGGTTTTATAAGAAAATTTCAGTTTTTAAGAAGAAACTTTTCGCAATGAGTTTTTTAAAAGTTAGCCATCATCCCAGATTACTGAATTAGATACGCAGCTGATAACCATGACTGTTGTTCAGGGGACTGCGTAAATCTTAAAAATAGTTTTTTTAAGTAAAAAAGTCAAAGTACGACAAGTGGTATATACTTACATGGATTTGAGCAGTATTGTAGGTGCATTGGGTTTTATTGGACTGTAACATACATCTGTATAAACTAAATTCTGCTGTAAGGGATCTTGGTGAAAACTGCCAGTCTATTTGTGAGAATGTTATTTCTTTAAGTTGGACAATGCCCCGCTGTGGGTGTTTCATGCTCCAAACGGTTGCCATCAGAAGCGTTTGACTCAAAACGAAGTACATTCATTGTGCTAAAAAAACGTATCATTTAATTGGAATTTATCAGCACTTAACTTCTTTTTTGGTTATCCGTGGCGCCTTCAACCTCCTACAACGGGGTTAAGAGAAGAAATGGTTAGGCTATCCCCAGTCTTCCCTACCTTTCACCCGAGGCCTGGGTCTCAGCCATTTCTGGCCCCATTGCTTTACTAGACATAATGCAGAACATATGGGCGATAAACGATTCCTCGCCTTCTTTTGCTTTAAACTTTTAGACATACCTTATCCTCCCAGTTTGCTTAAACATCATTTGGGGTGAGCATGCTCCCTGGAAAGGCGTAAAATTAATCCGGCATTTCGACAACCAAAGTACTCTTGAAGGCCTTGTTGCGCAAGAGCTTGGGTTGATGGAGCCAAAATTAAAGTGGACAGGCAACCCCCTTATTAATTGGAAAATTTCGCCGAAATTCATGCACAGATGCTAAAGGGTGCAGCTAGCTAACCAACCACAACCTCTTGATTCAGCGTGATTTATACCTCCTCGTTGCTGACATTTAACCTTCAAAGTTCGGCATACTATCTCATTTCTCCCCTTTCTTCATTTTTCTTTCCTCTTATTTCTCAAAAGACCGTTCCACACACCTGCGCTTACAAGCTCGTCCGTCTGGCTTTTGACGACGCCGCTCAGACGATTTTCACTCACAGTGTCAAAATTTTGCCCTCAATTTGAGTGTACCAACAAAACTCTCTGCTTTGGGGGCGAAAAAAGTGACCTTTAAATGCACAAATATTTAATTTACAAACGATCCAATGCTGAGTGAACTATCAGGAGATCAAATGAAGCCAAATTTACACACATAAAAAGTAAAAATATTTTTGCTTTCCTTTCCCAAGAGCTGGTTGATTTGGCATTTCCGACCTCTAGCTCCTTAACTCCGTTAAAATTCTGCCACTTGGAAGCTGTTTAAGCTCTTTTTAACCCTTCACTTTTATAGAGAGGTGCCTCGAGTCATCGGTGAGGCCGCAATAAGCACAAGTGATGCGACAGGATATACTACTTACTATCGTACAGAGTAGCTAGGCTCCCCCTTGGTCACCCGCCAGCGACAGACGCCGCGTCGTAGTCGGTGCAGTACGGTAGCGCCATGTGTGAAAGCATTTAACCCCACAGTTCCTCCACAAGGTCATAGGACTGTAAATTTTTGAATTTCCTCCCAGCCTTCTTAAAATGCCTGGTAGGTTGGGCCAAAAATAGACGCAGCACTTGACATTTTCGTCTTTTTACAGCACAGATTTGATGCTGATTAGACTAGTTTTTTACAGCCTCTTGGCGCGGGTAAACCATTATTGCGCTTCACAGCTCCGCTACTATTTAAAACACCAAGACGTGTCTTTGGCATCATGACGTCTTTACTGAAGTCGTAAAAAGCCGAAGTGGTGTGGCAAAATATACTACTCACCAGCAAGCGGAGGAGCAAGGGCCTATTGGCCTCCCCCGAGGGACGTGCTGCAAAGTAGAGGTACAACCTACCGAGACTGAAACAACGCCAGTCAGTGACTTTTCCCCATTTGAAAAGGCATTTGATTCCATCAATTCCTCTTTGACGTCCTGATAAGAAAAAGTATTGCTAAAGGAACATACTACCCACTAACACCCAACAGGGCTGGAAGGCATGTTTTGAAGGCCACGCACCTGGAAGTGGAAGTACAATCTGCAGAGAATGAAGCACCCACACCGCTACATCGCTAATTTGAGAGGAAAAAAACTTGCACTTACTGTAACTGAGGTGCTTAAGGAACGCGTGTAGAATTTTGGCTCCTCTCCCCTCCCCCCCAGGCCAATACCTTGATGTATCATGCATCTAAAACTAATTGACAATCTAAAGAAATTCCATTTGTTTTGCAGCAGCCAACGCTTCAAATGGAGTAGCCGAAATGCCGTCGAATCACCTTTGGCACTACCGCTCCTTGAACATCAGTGCTCTTCTTGCCTCTGGCAAGTATTACATTGACGATAACGGCTACCTCGTTGCTGTTGGTAATGGAACGCGCTATCGTCTGCCATCGGGACCCCCGGAAGGTCGTGCCAGTGGCCCCTTCGAACTGCAGCCCATTCTTCCGGGCAAGAACCAACAACTGGCAGATTCCGCTGTTGAGTGGCTGGATTTGGCCACCGCTACGACAACTACTGCATCGAGCACAACGCTGGCGAGGATGAATACTCCCTCCAGGTTGAATTTCACATCAACGGGGGTTCAGGCTATGCCAAGTGCGTTGAATTGGTCTTTGGCGTTGATTGCCTGCTCCGCGGCGTTGATAGCCAATTTGGGACTGGTATCGATCAGTTGTTGGTACCTGTTTCGTGGAAAAAGGAGAATGCGAAGCATGACAGTGGCTGTTGAACCGAGAAATTCTATTCCCCTTCAGACAATCCCTGCCCGTCGAGAGGAAGGAATCGGATTAGCGACAGAAGTAAAGAGCGAGGTTCAACAAATAGGGATAACTTCTGTGTCATCAGGTGGTAAGAGGGGACGTATAATCTGCATAACCTCAAACTTTATTGAAGAAAACTGTCAAAGATCTTTTCCTTCCAGATAGCCATTCCAGCTCCGTATCTCTCAGCTCTGATGACTACCATCAACCCCGTCTTAGGACCAGGAAATCCACTACCAAAGATCTTCCTTCTGTCAATGCTTTCCTTTCCAACTCCCGTTCTTGTCTCGGCGTCGGCATCCACATATCTCTTCTCGGTTTCCTACTAGCCTTTCTTCACCTCCTCATCACTTGTTTTCACATCACCCAAACTCCTCTCAGCTCCATTCTCTGTCTATTCATCACCTCTATCTCCACTGACACAATCTTCTGCGTTTATTTCCATCTCCTTACCTGCCTTCTCTGTCTGATCCTCATTGGATACCTCTCTCGTCCTTCTACCACCCGCTCAAGCCAACAACGATTTGCTTGTCTTGCCCTCTCCCACTCTCTACCATGGGCGCTTGCTGCGGGTTCCGCGCTGTTCATCACCCTTAAACCATTCCCCTCTGCTCAAGTGAATCTCTTCTTCACTGGGTTTCATGCTTCCTGCAATATGGAACACCTCCAAGAACTCTATCTTCTCACCGTAGTGCTTTTGGTTGTGATTCCACTCGTTGGTGAATTCATCTTTGTCCTACTCCTCTTCTGCTGTTGCCGACGTCTACCTCGAAGGATTTGCTTCCTCGCGACCCTCCTTCCAATCACCAACGCCGTATCCTTCATTCCTGTGCTTGCAGTGGGTCTACCAAACCTAATCCTCCTTCCACTTACCCTAGATCCAATAATAATTGCTCTATTTTATCGATTTTCCATCCCGATTGATCATGGTGAAATCCATGACCTTACAACCAATCACTTAAATCAAGATCGATCTCCGTTGCATCAAATGGTAATGGAGATATCACCGTCCCTTTCCTCCGAGATCTACTTTCCTCAGACAATTCTGGCCATTGCACCACATCGATGTAGTCATGGCAATGAGCTGCCTAGCGTCTCGCCAAAGCTATGTCCACATCATCAGCATATTCTGGCGCATTCGCAGAATTGTACGAATGAGAGGAGTTTGTGCAATGAGATTCTTCAGCCAGCTGGTGAGTTATGCCTAATTATTCTTGCGCATTGCATATGTGGCTCGGTGTCCAAAATCCATCCGGGGCTGCAATTGTGCAGCTTTGCCTCTCAGGGGAGGCGGACGGTTGTCCGCCTCCAAATCAACACCGTGGAGGCTGGTTCACAGGAGATTCAAAAGATCCAGGTAGCTAGTAATTAAGTAGCCTTTTCGAGGGACGAACTTGGTAATCCCTATGATTATTTTTGGTCTGCATTTGAGTGAATGAAGAGTATCATATTATGGGACGTCATCGGCTACTTATTATCTATATAAGTAGTGTTGATGAAACCGATGCTATTGTTTTAGCTAAGGAATCAAAGAAAGTGGGTCCACCTATCTGGTTTTGGACGTATTTTTCGGCTTTGTTTTAGGTATAGGACATTTGATATGAAAATTCACTCAAGTGATTTAGTCAGAAATCTTCCTAGATGTGAGAATGTTTCTGAAAAACCTTTTTCTCCACCAAAACAGACTGCCTTGTAGAGGCGGGAATCATCAACAAACACTTTTGGTGGGGGAATTCTTAGAACGAGGGAGGGGCGCCAGCACGCGGATAGATGGGGCAACTTCGTTGGGAGAAAACACGTGTAAAAGCGCCTTATGCGCTTTTCTTCCCTCCCAACTTTTTTTGCTCTTAGACCGATTCAGATTGCAGTTTTGGACACGAACAAGTGGGATCCCTTTCGTCTCTCCGGGAGGGTTGGGGTAAATCCCCTATTAATCAAATCTGATTAGATGAAAATTAATTTTGGATGCTAAAAATACCCCTAATACCGCATTTTTGCGAGGGCGAAAGAGGATTTGGATTTGTGACGAAACATCTTTAGAAGCTTTAAACATCGGTGAATTTAAGGAGGCCCTACATGTCAATGTGGCCAAGCAAAATTTTGCCTCAGCTGTGCCGAATTAGCCGTCACTCCAAATCTTGCAATCTATAAGTCTTCTGGAAGCTAGTCGTGTCCGTTCAGAAGGCGATCTATCACCTTTGGGTAGAGGAAGCTACAAAGAGAAAGAAACGGTCTCCTCTTCATACAAGGGTGAATGTAAGCCGGGGATAAGGCCCTCTCTTTTCCATCCTTCCTTCCCTCCCTCTCCACCTCGTAGACTCTTCCCGTGTAGATGAGATGATAGATGCGGAATATGTCTGACATCTGTGCGACTGGAGTTACAACTACAGAAAAAGAAAAAATGAGCCAACAAAGTAATTTGTAGGAGAAAATAGTGGTTTCGCGCTTGGGGACAGTAGGTGTTGTGTTGGCCTACACCCTGATTCACCTACCAAGAAACTCGTAATTTACTAAGCACTCGCAGATTTTGCCAATTTTTTTTTCCAGTTCTACTTTTACTTTCAAGTTTGCTTGGTTCTTTTGGAGCAATTTTTCGCATCTGTAAAGGATTAGGTGCGAAAACCGCCTGTCACATATGTGTGCCGTTGGTAGAAAGATTATTAAGCTAAGCCACTCCAAACTTTTTGAAGCGTGTGAGTTGATGTCAGTTTATTTGCATCTAACATCTAATTTAAAACCTTGTTAAGGCCTTTTTAATGTTCTTTTTCACATATGATTAGGATGAGGTAAGAACAGGGCGCGTCACATATAAATGACGACGGTAAAGAGTGGGCTATGCCAAACACCGTGCTAAAATACAAGGTAAACGTCATAAGAACAGTCCCTTAGACTATTCTCTTTTGGCAATAAAAGGAATGGTTAAGATCTCCTTTGAACTCTTTCTGAAATTTCGAAATTCACGGACGTCTCATTCAATACTCCATACGCATTTGCTAGAGCTCCAGGACAGAAATCCTTTAATTTAAAATCGGAAAGATCAGCAGTACCTAATGCGTTCAATCTATCCAAGTTAATCAGACATACACACACACGCACTCCCCTTTTTAAAATGCTTCTACAGTCCGGAAAAAGGAGGACTGCCGAAACGATCTCCAAATCTTTCAGATGAAATGCCGCTCACCTCCTCCTTCTTCTGCCAAAAATTTGCGTTCCACCGTTTGCGCTACACATTAACTGCATCATTAATATTAGTAGCTCTGCATTTTATCCTCCCCGCTCGCCCACCGCATTGGTCCGCGCTCAAGGTCATATCAGCGAGGCGATTATAGCGCGCGTGCAGGCGCGGGACAATTGAACGCCACCAGGCTACCCCATCCACCCGTTGTATGAAGCCTCCCATTTTGAACAGAACATGTAGAAAAAAGATATATATATACGCACAAAATGCCGGAAGTGTCTGCAAATGAACCACGCCCAGGGTAGGTGTGGGCAACAAAAACCGTTTGGCTCTCCCTGGGCATCATCAAATAGTTAAAAATAATTTTAATGACTTTCCTTATACCTAAAAGAATTAATTATGGTCAAATGGTGCATTTGTGTAAACTATCATGAAGCTAGGGTGAAGCACTCGAGTTGCTTCAGCAGACGTCAACTAGTGGACGAGCCAAGTGACAGCGTAATCTTCTGCTTGGCATTCACTAGCACTACTCCCCACCTCTCATCTTCTGCTATGATAGTGACGTTGGAAGCGGTCACGTTAGAGGAGTGAAGAAGTTCTGTTCCAAATTCGTTATGGATATTCCTTTGTCGATATTAGCAAATTGGTTGACATTTTGTCTCCAAATTTCGGGTTAAAAATAGTAACTTCATTAAGTGATTAATTTATTTTCAACCACAGCAAACATCACTTAGATTTGACAAGTTGACAGTATCAAGCTAAGTTGTTCAATATGTCAGGGAAAGGCGAGGAGTAGTGGTAGACAGATGAATATCCACACTCTTGTCACAAATGGTTGTCTTGGTTTATCACACAACTCAGTCCGGAGGAGTGTCAGCCTCCGTAAGCGTGGCGGCAAATTTGCACTCCTCTAGGAGGACGTGAAGGAAGGAGGTAAATTCCTGCCCTCCGATTACTAGGCCATATCTTCTGAGAGCTCATTCATGGACCTGTCATCGGGGGATGCAGATGGCTACAAAATGTGTGTGTATGCGCGCAGAATACATCAGAGAGGGAGAGGAAGGGCTTTGGCATACGATGATTGTGCTATGGGCGGAACGCATGTGCATGTGTCCATGCGCATTCGATGCAGAAGTCAGATCAGGTCCGGCATAGAACGGAGTGATGACACACCGGACGCGGCGTCTGTCTAACCTCTGCTGTGACCCTTAGGCATGGAGATGATCATCAGACAGTTTCAAATCTACGTGCGTCATTCTGACTCACAACAGCCTCAAGCGATTGCCAAGGGAAGAGCAACAGTGCCTTAGTAGCCGAGTAAAAAGCTTGCAACTTTAAATGAAGGGGGTCTTTAAGAAAATTCTGCAGTAGTTTTATATACGTCTCATTTTTGGCTAAAAATTTGACCGCTTAGGAGCTGCCTTAAAAGAGCGCCCTGTCTGGAAAGTTTAACTCCCCTATCGGGCGCCAAATATCGCGTGATGCCACATGCGTCTCTCCTTTTATTTCTACCCACACTATTTGCGCATGAGCAAATATCAAAGGTTTCTTTTTAATCAAGTCATTTTGCTTTTTTATTCTCACAACCAAGCAGGTATAGATCTGTACTTTCAAGGGCTCGAAAAATATTTCCCGTTGTTAAGGTCTACTTATTTCCCAGATAAGTAGTTTACTGCACCCTTTTCATTACCTCCTGATTTAGTCAAAGAATTCTGATTAGTGGTTTATTAAAGACGTGAACCCATCCCAAACCGCTCCATTACCCCTTGGCTGCAATCCAGGGAGCATGAATCTACTGTTTTTCA